TTTTTTTTTTTTTCATTCTGCGGTTACGAAAATATAGAAGAAGATTTATTCATTAAGTGCGCTGTTGTAGTGTTGATAACAATGTTCAGTAAATTATTGTATTGTATAAAAGTAACGAATCGATTATATACTGTTGTGGTTTTTTTTTTATTTCTTGAATTAATGTTGTTAACTGTTACTACCGCGGCAAACTTTTTAAAATTTGGTTGTTTTCCGTTTTACTTAATTTTGCTGTTTTTTCCCCGCATTTCTCTGATGCATAATTATTTTTCAAGTAAGATATGCAAAAGTTACTGTTTTGGCTTGCATATATTGTTGACCACTTTTTTCTCCAGTTACTAGGTAAACTGAATTTTAGGTATTAGTGAACACTTTTCTTTTTGCCACTTTCACGTTATTTGTTCTTTTTTATTTGAATTCGTTTTTTTCTTTCTCTGTCACTGCAAATCTGAATTGATTAAGTTTTTGGTGATATATTTTTTTTTATTCGTATGAAATCTGTTTTGATAGAAATTTGACACTGTTGTTACACTTATTTTCGTTAGCAGTTATCGACTGGATGTTTCCAAGTTTTTTTTTCTCTTTTTATTCTTCTATGCAACGTTAAGCCCATATTTTTAAATATTGTTGAATCTGGTGGTACTCCGTTTTGTATGCTTCTACAACTTCCAATTGAAAGTTTAAGGTTTATTAGCGATGGCTGACGTTAAACCGAATCACACGATATACATAAATAACTTAAACGAAAAAACCAAAAAAGACGGTAAGAGGTCATACAAATCTGGTTTTAAGAACTTTGTAAGGAACTGCGCTAATTTTTTCGTCACAATCTGAACCTTTATTTATTGCTATAAAAACAAGCTGAGCAAAAATTATTCTTTGCTAGGTGATATTTGCTTCATGGTAAACATGCGCAGTTTATTTTTAGATTTGATTCTTCAAACAATTCTAATTATCAAAATTACCCTTAACGTAGGTTAAGTATAGAAGTCGACATTTTTGATAACTTTGCTTTTGTCGCGCTATATATTCTCATAAAACCTGAACTGCAGAGCTTAAGAAGGCTTTATATGCAATATTTTCACAATTCGGGCAGATTATCGATATAATGGCTTTTAAAACTTTGAAAATGCGTGGTCAGGTCTGTATTTTTATACTTTATTTCTTTCCTTTTCCGTTATTTTAAATACCTTTTCGGTTGACTTGTAAAAATTCTCTGTTATCTTTTTGAGCTAAATTTTTGTCTTTATTGTTTTACGTAGAGATTGCAGGCTCATGTTATTTTCAAAGAAGTAAGTTCAGCTACAAATGCACTTCGCGCAATGCAAGGGTTTCCTTTTTATGATAAACCAATGGTTAGTTTGAAATTTTTTACTTCTTAGACTTCAAGTTCCTTATTTTTTTAACCTTTTTCTGCTGCTGTTTTACAAAGTTGTTTGCTTTGTTATAGAGGATTCAGTTTGCTCGTGAAGATTCAGATGTCATAGCAAAAGCAAAGGGTACTTACGTTGAAAGGCCGAAGAAATATTTGCTCGCTCGTCAAGCCCAACAAGAGAAGCGGAAGAAAGCTGGTGAAAGCGGAGCAGCGAAGAAAACTGTTAGTAAAAGTGTTCATATTTTTACAGCTTTAACTTCTTCTTGACTGTATTTCTTGTTCTAGAATATTCTTTCCAATTTAAGTAATTGTTCTTGCGGTGTTACATCCTAATTATAGTCATTTCTTTGGGTTTTGTCATAGGGTAGTTCATGAATGAAAAATCTGTTGCAATTGCCTGTGTAATTTTTCTGCTTTATTTTTAGCCGCGTACGGACAAGTCTGCAGGGAGCAAGTTTTCCAACCCGCCAGAAAAAACCAACCCACCTAATAAAATTTTGTTCTGTACAAATCTGCCTGAAGAAACAACGGAACAGATGCTTTCACTGTTGTTTAACCCGTAAGTTTAATTACTGTTACAGTTTCCGGTCAGTGCTTTTTTCGGAAAGATTTTTTTGAGTGTGTTTTACAATTTTGGAATCTTTTCATTTCCGGTTCGTGTATAATGTCCGTATCCTTACCTCATTTTTTTTTTACTTGGTTCGACACTTGGATCTTTTGCAGTTACCCTGGCTTAAAGGATATCCGTCGAATTCCAAATAGGCCTGATATAGCGTTTGTTGAGTTTGAAAGTGAAGGCGAAGCAACAGCAGCAAGAAATGGATTAAATAATTTCAAAATTGCCCCGGGACAATGTATGTATGTCAATTATGCGAATAAATAACGGATCTCATTTACTGGTCTACTCACACCCAAATGGTCTCCACAATTTCTCCGTGTTTCTTATGCTGTGTCGTCCGTGTTATGTTCTTGTTATCTGAATAAACTCATTTTTGTTGTTCGAGACATTTTCGTAATGATTGCGAGAATCAAGCACAACCTACGCTGTTTTTAAACCAGATCCAAAGCAGTTGTAGGAGTATAGTATCTTAATAGCTAATATTTGGACAAAAGAGTTGTATTCCATTGTCTCCTCAGAGTCATTAAATTTTTGAAGTTTGTGTTTCTGGGTGCGCAATGATTTGTCCGCAGCGTGTTTCTTATGTGGTTGGGGTGTCAAGTCGCATGCTGAGGTATGGTGATTGATTGGTCCTGTTTTTAATTGTTGTAGTTTCTTTGTCACGCCTTACTTCGTTGACTATGCTGTTTTCAGCAGGATCAAGAAAGATTGTGGCGAAGTGCGAAATTGTTGGAGATGTATGAAGGCTGTAAATTGCTTAAAGGTGTATCTTTATTTGTTGTCGCCCAATAACAAGTTTTTTCAGATTGTGTAGACTTCATTTGATACTTTTTAGCTAGGTTAAGCGGGATTTTTGAGAACACTACCACTTAAAGGAGTTACCACCTACCAAACTAACTTTTGTCCAGGCACATCTATGATGTAGTTGTATTCGTAATTGTTTATTTGTAAGTTCACTCATCTTTTGCTTCAGGAAAAATATTTTTGCCCAACTTGTTCTGCCATTCAGCCTGCCGAAGGACAAAATTTTTTTGACTATCTTGGTGTAGACCCTTCATTCAGTGTGGACACTGCGGTATTGAAACAAAACTTTTTGAAACTGCAAACCAAGATTCATCCAGATAAATTCTCTAAATGCTCCTCAGTGAGTAGTTTTCTTGTTTTGTGTGTGACAGTAGCTTGTAGTGTATCGTTTTATCAGTGCTGTAGTGGTTTAGGAAGAGAAACATATATCCGAATTATGTTCCAGTTATTTAAATGAGGCGTATAAAACCCTTATTGAGCCTTTGCAACGAGCTAAATATCTGTTGGAAATGAAAGGAGAAAATACAGCAAATGAGAGTAAGGAAACTTCTGATTTCAATATATCAGAGTAGGTCCTAACTATCAAATTACTATCAAATTTAGGCACTTCCAGTACTTTTCTGGTCGAGATGATGGAGCTAAATGAAGAAGTTGACGCTTTGGAGGATGCAGAATCCATACGCAGCATGTTAAAGAAAGTAGAAGACCGCATTGATGAATTATGTAAGGCCTTCAAAGAAGCCTTTGAGACTGGGAATCTCAATGAAGCAAAACAGGATGTTTTAAAGATGGGCTTCTTCTATCGCATCAAGAAAACGCTGAATAAGAAACTCGACGAAGTATCGTAATGCTTTATCAACAATTGCTTGCCCTCACGCGGTTGTTTCTTTGATTCTTTGATTGGGAAGCCTTCAACAATGGCAAAACTTCCATGTAATATATACGGGTTATCATAGATGTTCGTGATATTTGTAGTTCAAAAAACTTTGTAGGTATCTGAAATGAAAGTTCTTAGGCATTTTGGTAGCCTGTAGCTATATAAATCCATGAACTTCCATTTAACCATAACAGCCATCGGTTTTCGAATCAGTCTTTATTTGTGACATTTCTCGTATTTTTCATCATTAAAACATTTCAATCTAACAAATCGTTAGTTCATACAGAAATTGGAAACGCGACTACATGTAATTACGGAAAGATCTGTCACATTATAAGTGGTTTATAATGTACACTGGCAATGACTGATTTGAGGTGCTCATCGAGGTCATAATAACTTTAATTGAATATAATCAGAAAGTGAAAACTGAAGAGTTAGAACCAATTATGCAGCAGGCGAAGGAAATATTGAAAACACTAGAAAACCAAGAGAACCCGTAACGTATCACTAAGTGAAGTTCAAGGCTGTCAAGTAATAAAATAATGCTGGCTAGGTGGAAACTTTAATACTGCCACAGATACAAGTGTTCAAAAGCAGAGTCTGGTGTCACCAACAACTTTGTACTTCACAGCTGCTCAACCAAAACCAGTGAACACCACTCCAGGAAAGAACCAATTATGTACACATGGTATTTCACTTCTTGTTGAACAATGCAGGCCGAGTGGCCATTCAGAAAGGAGAGTTTTTAGATTACAATTATGACAGACCGAACAAAAAAAAAATCAGGAATCACTGAAAGCTTCTTCTTTTTAAGAAAACCCTAAGGACATTAAACACTACTGACAAGTGTGCGTTATAGTCACACAAGCAAATCAATTTTCTGAAATGCTCGTTAAAAAGTATCCATTTATAAGTAAAGGGAACCCATCCATCTCTTATTTCTGGAACAGCTAATTTGCAATACGACCAACTAGGTTAGAACAGGCTCAGCATCTATATAACATTCAAGCCCAAATCCCTTCCGCGTCATCATCCTGTAACATTTTTACACTTTTTCACTTGCTCAGAAAGCGGCTTAGCTGCCTGCCTTAAAACTTATTGCCCTAAATTCTTCAGAATAACTTGTCATTTTGTCATACACTATTCCTTTTGATTTCTAGAGACATCAAGAGTTTTTTTACCTGGTCAATTCTGGAACCAATCAAATCTAAGCTCGCAATCTGTGGTGAAATTGATGGGAATGCACCCACAGCAGGAGACTGCTGATCCATATTTGCTAAATAAATGATTTTATAGTGGAAAGGACAGCTGCAGATAACTTGTAATTTATACTACCTCCATATTTCATATTAAAGGAGTTCAGTAGTTGTGCACGCCTTTCGTTTTCTTCATTTAGCTTCTGCATCAACTTTTCCTTATGTTGTCGTAAAGTTTCTATTTCATCCTTCGGTCTTTCATGCGACTGTTCCAAAAGAGCGATATGAGCGTCTTTCTCAGCGATTGCTGCTACAAGTGCCTCATGCCTAGAATGCTTTTCCTCTTCGAGTGTAAACAGTTCGAACAAACAAGTACGATATAACAGAACGACTCGTTCCAAAAAGAGGCAGTAAAAAAATTCTTGCCAACTATGCCGTAAATGATACCTATACACTCAAAAAAAAAGGATTATTTTTTAAAATGAGTGATGTACTTGAGCTGCAGAAGTTGTTCAAGTTGTTTCATTCGTTCCGCTTCCCACTGTTGTAACATCTCACTCTGATCAATATTAGTTGCTTCTTTCAGCCTTTTATGAAGTTCACACACCTCTCGACGGCTTTCAGATAGCTAAAAATGTGAAGCGTGATAAACTAAAGCAAATGACAGATCAATTTTCACCATAAAGTAAGGTCCAGCGGTACTTTCAACAGAGGCTATCAGTTCCTTTGCAAGCTAGAAAGGAAGTTTTAGCCTTTCACAATAAAAACTCAAAAGTATTAAGCAAAACAAAGTTTTCCAATACGTTAACGTCAAATGCTAGATTGATACCGCTATAGAAACTTTTGAACTGTAAACAAGTGGCTGCTAGTAAGCAATAGCTGACTTGTAACGAAAGCTGTTGGTTCATTTGCTTCTGTTGGGCTACATGTAGCTCTCTCTCCGCCGTAATACTAACCGATTCTCTAAGTGCCTCTTCTAGTTCCTCAATTCTGAAATAGTGAGATGAAATAAGTGAAAAAAAAAAAGATAACAAAGGCAGTAATATTAGGAAGTTTACCCACAACATCTATTTGGAAACTGTCGCTGAAAATATATACCTGTTCTTTAACGATCGGTCGTCTTTAGGAAGTTCTGCTACACTAACGCTTGAGGCTAACCTGTGTTCATCGTCAACAGTACTAAAAAAATAAAAACACCGAAAAAACATCCATATTCCAAGAAAAACGTCTTATTTAATAGAAATGTACTTTTGCCTCTATAAAGCCCAATGTACACCATATTCACGAGAAACAAGAACTATTTACCTTTGCAACTGTTTGTTTTTAGAAATTAAACTAGCTTTCTCTTTTTCAAGATTTTGTACCATTCGTAGCAACGAGTCTATTTCTTTTCGCGCCTCTGCCAACTAGAATAGAGGAATTAGCAAGAAAATTTAAATTAAATTTATTTCCAGCAACAAAAAACAATGGTGCAGAAAGTTAAAGAAGAAACCTGCTCATCTTGTGTCTTCATGGGACCAGGTTCTTTTTTCTGTTTAGCAACATCGCATAATTCCTTATCTAAATCACCAATTTTTTCATTTTGCGACTCCAGTAGTATCTGTCTGAAATTTCATTTATTAGACATGATTCCATAAAAAAAGGCAAATGCAGAAAGAAGATAAACAACCTATCAGATAACTCTTTTTGCAAACTTTCTATAGTAGTCGTCAGCTGACGATGCTCTTTTTGGAAAGTCTCAAGCTGTTCAGCTTTTTCTTTTTCAGCATTGCGGCGAAGATCATCAATTACGGATCGCAGTCTTGCAGCATCTCTGTAGCAAAAGATTTGAATTAAAAAATGCAAGCCTTTTTATATCAAAGTTAACGACTACAGCTAATTTCTTTAATGAAATTTTGGCAAAATAAAAAGAATTTATCGAGCACCAGCGGCGAAAAGCTATAAATGTTTAGAATTTATGTGCTTTCTGATACCTATTTGATTCATCCAACTGCATTTGCAACTTTCTTTCCGCTTGCATATCTGGTTGAGCTAGAAGTTTCTGCTTGATCTTGTCCAACTCAACTTCCTTCTCCTTCAACATTGCTTCCATTGCATCCAACCTTGCAATTAGATGATTCATTCTTTGTTCTGCACCCTAAAAAGTAGGTTACCAGTACTACTAGTTCTAACTGAAAAATTCAAAAGTAGGTAAAATTACCTAACACAAGCAAAGAACGGAATGAAGAGCGAAACACGCAATCAAGGATGACAAAGAAAGATTAATGTGAAAGTTAAACGGCCCATATAAGTTAAGTACTACAAAAATCTACCTTGTTAAACTCTCGCAAATCCGCTGCTTGACTCTTAGACAAAGAAAGCTCGGCTTCAAGTCGTTCACATTTTTTTTCTTTTTGTTCTATCTGCTCATTTTTATTCTCCAGTTTGGTACGAAGCGCTTCAATCTGAACGAGTTAAAAAAAGTTATTGAAATGAGGATGACAAATGCTAAAAATTAGAGATTTCCTTTTAACAGAAGTAAATAAATCAGTTAAGACTGCCGCGTTGTATAAAAAAAAACGTACGTCGCTTTGCAGCAAAACGGTCTGTTGTTCTTTGGCTGTAACAGAATCTCGTAAAACCCGCAAATGTTTCTGTAGTTCTACATTTTCTTCACCAGCCGATTGTAGACGCGTTTGAACAGCAGAAAGTTCTGAAGTCCTAAAGATGAAGAATTAGGTTAAACTTTGGTTCAAAAATTCTTTCAAAATCTTTAACTTTAAACTTTACTTCTGAGCTAGTTCAACTTCACTTCGTTCCATTTTCATTCTGAGAGTATGTAATTCATGGGTACTAATTGACTTATCAGTGTAATCCCGAGGAGCATCTAATTCTTGAGCATTCATTTTATAAGTCCTCACTTCTTCCAGTAGTTCTTCTATCCGGCGGTCCTTAAGTGAAAGTTATTGGTAAAACTTTTCTAAGAATGCAAGTACTTGCCATTATCCACTATTCTCAACAACTTAAGAAAACACTATTGAATGACTACCTTGGCTGCATCCCTTTGAGAAGAGGAGAAAGCTAATTCAGCTAGCTGCTCTTCCATTCTGTGTAACTGTTGATCCCGATGGGCAACAAGCGAATCTAACTGATGACAGCGGTACTCCAATTCTTGCAGCTGACGACCGGAGGAATCTGCATTTAATGACGTTGATGCTCCGTGTTCCAACCTCCTCATCGGGTCGTCATAACGGCAGTTATCTAATTCACGAAAACCAGCTCCACCATTGT